CTCTAAATGCCCTAAGGGGTGGTTTGGCTGGCTGGAGTGTTGTGGGGATCGAACTACAGCAACCTGAGGCTGACAACATTGTGGAAGCTGCCACTTAAACAACTGAGCTAAGGCCAGGCCCCCTAAAATGGAATAATGTTTTTTTTTTTTTTGTTCCTCGAATGCCTTCAGGGCACTTTTGGCCAGCGGGAGAGTTGTGAGGTTCGAACTCCCCCCCAGGACTTTTTGACAGCATACATTGCAAAGTTCGTGTTAACTATCAAGAGACTGATAAGAACGAGAACTGCACTAATATATTCTGACGTGGCTTTTTTTTTTTTTTTTTTTTTTGTATTTTAGGGAAGGGTCTACAGTGTTTAGGGTCTCACTACTAGATCGGACTCATAGTGATATATCTATTTACAGTCTCCAAGAGCTGGGATTACAGACACGTGCCACCATGCCCAGTCTCAATAGCTGACTCAGCATGCCCCAGGGATGGGGCCAGGGCCTGCATGGCAGGCCTGGGGATAGAACCCCTGGCTCCTGTGCCTGCTTTCAGATGCTTTAATCCAGTGAGCTATTTGGCCGGCCCCTGGACTTTGCTTTTTTTACAAGAGGAATGGATGTTATACCATAGCCTCAATATCTCCTGAGCATATTACTTACAACTCTATGTAGCATATAATAATTTTTAACCAATCTAATTTTGAATTAGAAATTTTTATCTTGTTTTTAAAAATCCTTTAGCTGTTGAGCCAGTTTTGTGAATACTGGCCCTGTTAGTAGATTCTCCACTTGGTAAGACAACCAGAGGTGACCAGGCATGCTTTGGATTATGTCCTCTCCCCACAGCAAAGGACAGGCAGTTCCACAGACCACACCCACTGAGAACACTGCAAGGCAAACTGTACCTGATTGCCGAGGAAGAACTACAGACAGTATGAGTAAAGGATGGAGGGGGGGAAGAAGAGAACATTTTGTCAAATTAACACTAAGGAATGGAAATCATATCATATTAACAGTCTTCTAAATACAGACTGTATTCTTACTGAGCTCTTGAGACAGGAACATTTTACAAAAGAACCAACTCTTAAGTTTCTACTCTGTTGCTCTTACTAGCTCATCTATCTCACGGTAGCTAAACAAGAGAAGAAAACCCAACAGGCCAGCACAAGATTACTCGGAGCTCTAACTAAATGCTCTGGGTTGGGCTTGGGGCAGAGAAACCCAGCACTTCTCAGCCAGCAGCAGCCTGGTGTGCATCTGGTATACTTAGAGGACATTTGAAGGTACTGAAGGAAGCTGGACTTCCCAGTCTTTCAGCCTAATCTCCTTGCCAATCACAGATTTTTCTTAATACTTCACGGAAATTTAGCAAGCTATTAAATATATTCTAAGAGTTCCATTTCTTAATGTGTTCTACATTCCTCTTAAGTTCTGAAGCTCCAGTACAAGCACAGTTCACTGTCACTAGGGCTACATCAAGCATTTCAGATATGGGAACACAGCTGCCTAGTGGATGAGGTCTTATCTGTAGGCCATGCAGAGCAGGCACAGTATCTGCTGAGGCCCTGATGGAGTCCCTACCACCCTTTCCAAGGTTGGGAGCCACTCTGGTTCAGGATAATCAACTCTGGGGGATGAATCATCAGTAGATTAGTCAGATGTAATTGTACAAACTAGTAACTTCATCTCCACTAAGATGCCGGCCAGTAGTGAGGTGAGGGCTCTGAAGTGTCTTCTATCTTGCCAAGTATAAAGCTATGGTCCACCAGGCATGGAAACTGCTCAGCTAGAACTACACAGGGCACAAAATATGCTTAGCCCAACAGACACCTGACATTTGGTATTTAGAGATGAAGGCTGAAGGGTGACCTCATTTCCAGTTCATGGTCTCTGGCAGTTTAGCATCAGGAACGAGAGCACAATCATCCAGTCTGGTATGTGTCAGGTTGCTTTCACTTGTAAGGGCCACATATGAGGAAACAACCACCACAAAGGGATGGCTTTTCTTTTCCTTACCCGGTATTTATTCTCTCCAATCTGCTCCACCTGAAATCTTTTTGCACATTTGCACTGAGCCACTTGTCTTGTGACCTATTGCATGTGAACAACAGCAACAACAAAAAGTTTAAATGTCAGAGCAAGACTTCCTAGTCAGAGAAATAACTTTTGTTTTTTGTTTAAACATATAAACAGAAATCCCATTCATTATTCAGGGATAGGGCAGTAGGTGTTGAAGGGACATCCCCAGTTCAGGCAGTACTCAAAACTCACAATCTTCCTGCCTCAGCCTCCCCAAGAGTGCTTGGACACAGGCATAAACCACCATACCTGGTACATCTCCCCTCTATGTGCTACATTTGAACACCCTGTCCCTGGATTCCGAGGCAGGGTGCGTATAACTAAAATTAGTGCATGTAAGGGATTTGGTACTTGTGAACCGGGATGAGAACAATTCCATGGAAAAGTTCCCATCAAGAACCAATATCAAAACAAAACTCCAAATAATCACCTCCCCAAGGTAAGCAGGAAGGCCAATAATAGTAACCATACTCAAATGAATTCAAGACAGTATAAACTGACATTAAAAAATATACTCAAAATACAGTTATTTCTCATACCTCATCCTCAATTTTATCTGCATCAGTTGTTGGTCGGTAAGCATCCTTATTGGGATGGAGAGCAGCCACAAATTCATAGTAGTCAATGTAGCCATCACCATCCCGATCAAAAATGTCAGCCACAGCAGTCATTTCTAACTTGGTGGTAGGGAACTCTGGAAAAAGGGACCATGGTTTCAAACATTAAACTCAGTGGCTTAGTAGTGGTCGGCAAGCAGTTATATAAATACTTAATGAACAAACAAAAGCTATATATAAGAACCAACAGTATATGTTCATTTTATTTATTTATTTATTTTTGTTTTTTGAGACAGGGTTCCATCATGTGGTTCTGGCTTCCTTGAGTTCACTATGTAGCCCAGGCTGGCTTAAACTCATGACTATCCCCCTTCAGCCTCCCGAGTGCTGCGATCACAGGCATGTGCACTCTAGGCATGTACAGGCTGTCACTTTAAAAAACTCAAGAGATTCAGATTATAAAGATAAAAATCACTCAAAATGTAGCAACCAGGTACTAGTAGATTTTGGTATATCTGCTGAGACTCCCCTAGCTTTTATGCAATAAAAAAATAAAAGCAGTATTTTAGATACACCGAAAGTCATACAATATTATAATGACTTATCTTTAAAATTTACTTATTTACTTCACTATTACTTAATCACTATTTCTGAACAGTAATCCTTTAGAATTAATAGCATAAGTTTTTTTTCCCCCTACTATGTTTAGATCACTGCCTTTGATTCTTGACAAATTGTTTTCCATAGGGAAGTATATTTATGGTACTTGGAGTGATTTACTAAAACTTAGGCTGGATCATACTGTTTTTCAGGTGAAAACCTCAGCTCATTCTGAGCTCTCCCACAAGGCTCTGCATGAACTGGCAGCTGGCCACTCTTTTATTCCCCTGTGATCATAACACTCCAATCTCGCCAATGTTTCCAGCATTAGAACGTGTCAGAGCCACTGCCACACAGTTACCTTCTGTTCTTTTTGCCTCTAAGCTCCTCCCATAAATCTTTATATGGCTGGATCATTCTCATCATTTAGAGCTCAGCTCACATATTACCTCTGCAGATAGGCTACCTGTGACTGTTGCATGAGATTGTATTGCTTGAGATATTCTGTGATCTTTGTAAGTCATTTAATTACTTTATGTATCACCTATATGCTCTGCTAACACTGTATGAGCTGGGTTTTTTTTTTTTGTTTTTTTTTTTTGTGGAACTGGGGATTGAACTCAGCTCCTTGCGCTTGCCAGGGAAGTGCTTATAACAGCCCCTGTATGAGCTGTTATAGAGATAGCACAAACTGCTTCTTTTGGCGCCAGGGAGACACCTTGGTGGTCTAAGCACCTGCCTGGCAAGGGCAGAGATCTGGGACCAATCCCGGTACTGGCCTCGTGCCATACCAGCCACTGAAACCGGGCATGGTGGCACACACCTGTAATTCCAGTGCTGGGGAAGTTCAGACAGGAGGATGTGAGACCCTGTACCAAATAATTATTACTTATATAAAAAAATTAAGAAACTTTTATGAAAGAACTATTTTTAAAATATGTTACTTAGACCTTTATCATTTACAAAAGGTAACTTCTTAGCCATACCTCAAATGTATCTTGCTTGCCCCAACTTATCTATTAAGATAGTTTTTTATTGCTAATGACAATCTTCTATCAAAACGCTGGATCACTTTCTTTTTTGGTACTGGGAATCAAACTCAGGGCCTTGTAATGTGCCACTGAACTATATCCCCAGCCCCTAGACTACTTTTAATACATGGTTGATGTTACATCTTCCTCAAAAATATAACTTTAACTTTGAAAGACTGTTTTGCAGCACATCACAACTTCTGCAAAGTACATGCAAGAAATAATACAGGTGTGACTTGTGTTTGGAATTACAATCGGACTCACTGGATGCTAAGATGCCATCAATAAACTCCTGACGTGTTATCTTTCCATCTTGGTCCTTGTCAATGCGCCGGAAAAAATCCATTACCCGAGACTTCTTGTGATTCATCCAACGCATATACTTTTTCCTCCAGACATCAAAATCAAAGTTGGCGAATTCCTTCAACTAGACAGAAATCAGAAGTGTCAAACAATCTATTGTTTTGGACCATCCAAGCTGCCCAGAGCACACCAAAACTTTTCAAACACTCAGTGAAGCCATGCAGGCCTTCCAGAAGGGGACCGACAGTGTGGCTTACACATGTCTCTTCTGTGAAGGCAAAATCTGACTCCTTCACTCAACCCATGATTGCTTACATGAGCTGTGGTATAATGCAGCAGCAAGGGAAACAATAACTAAAAAACTACCACAGGAAATAGGGAGCATGTAGAACGAAAATGGGTGGAGCCAGGCTTGCTTTCCCTTTGGACTTTATTGTGAGTTACCCTCCTAGATGTAAGGCAATGGATTCCATCCCAGAGGTGAGGTCTCGGCATCACTTATGTGTTGCTTTGAATCACACATGGGGCCATATCAGGAGACCCATGTTTCCCACCATATTGAGACTACTTTGAGAAAATTAGACTCTAGATCGAAGGAATAGGAACCCAATCCTGTACCCAAGCATGTTTCTTTGAAATGGCACCAGAGGGAACAAACTGCCCACTTGACATCTATGTTAAATGTCTGGCCTGCATGAAAAACAGTAGGCTTAGGCAGTGGATGGTGATTTTCAGCTACTTGAGTTATATTAGTGATTCACATTCAGAATTATTTAACAGTGTAGCAGTTTTCCCCCTGGTCTTTCAAATTCCAAAGTTGGAAGGAATAGGGGAAAAAAGCTTCAGAACAAAATATGCTTAAGACTCAACTGACCTATGAAACAACAACAAAAAACAGAGAACACTCACTTCTGGGTATAGCTGCTTTGATAGGCACAAATAAAAAAAATATAAAAGATATTAGAGGCTTCTTTTAAAAACTAGGAAATGCAGTATTCTATTTTTTTATGAGGCAATAATTCAAAATCGACTTGCTTTTTATGATCTAGTTATGATAGTAAGATTGTAACAAATGACTCATTTCATAATTATGTAGCGTATCCACACCTTTACATAATGGGGTCAATAATGGTCAGTTCTGTGGAACCTACACACATGGAGAAACTTTCAAAGTTATGCTCCTGATTCTTGACTACAGCAAGAGGCTGAAGAGGATCAGAACACTGCCTGACCCTTGCATAAATGGCCTGGTTTCTTGCCACGGCCTCCTCTGTTGTGAGTGGTGTTCCTAGAAATTTGTCTTCTCTCATTCAGAAGCTTGAAGAAAGGAGTACTGGCTTGGCACAGGCCTTATTCTACTTCTGGAGAAGCAGGTGGAGGCACATGGTCACAGTAAGAGGGCCTCAGAAGGGCTACATTTTGATCAGGAAAAGGCCCCTCAGTGGGCATTACCTCCTCCAGGCGATCCAAGGCATCGTTCAGCTTCCGCTGGCGCTCTAGGGCCAACAGCCACACCTGCTGCCAGCGAGCAGAGAGCTGGTTGATCCGTGGGTTTTTCGCTTCAGACTGTGAAAAGATTGGCATGGGAGGAGGTGTGGGCTGACTCAAGGGCTTCCCTAAAAAGAAAAATAACCACAAGATTAGAAAAGCTGATTTTGTCTGTCCACAGAGAAACAGCTATGTGGATGAACTCAGGCTGTCCTTAGAATGCTACCCAGTCAGTGACTCATAAAAGAAGTGCTAGACTTGGCAACACCAACGGACTCTCCTACCAGCCAATAAGTGTTTACCTAGCTCCTAAGCACCATCCACCAATTCTGTCCTCCTTTAGTAAACTGAGGAACTTTCAACTCAATGACTAGAACAGTGGATAATACAGGAGCTTATGTATGCTATAATTAGATCAGTGCAAAGTAAATGTAAATGGCACTGAAGACCAAAACATTGAAAAGGTCATTGCTGTTAGGTGTTTTACTACCTACTGAATTAAATTTAATACTAACTCAATAAAACAGAGTATAAGAAAAGTGAGTTTGAAAAGATTTGGAAGCTGGGTATGGGGCATATGCATGTGATCCCGGCACTTGGGAGGTTGAGGCAGGAGGATTGCCAAAAGTCGGAAGCTAGTGTGGACACACAGCGAGTTGAAGGCCAGCCTGGCCTAAGTGAGACCCAGACTATAAAACCAAAACCAAAACCACCCCAGAGATGTTGGTTCAAAACCAGTACAGTTATTTACTATAGACTTTTGGAAAGTGTTCTAATACACTAGGGGACATACTGCCACCACTGCGGGATTTCTCGGTAAAAGGAGCACGAGTAGGTTCCACAGTCTTCCTTTTGTACGTCTTGGTGACCCGGTCCACATCAGGTTGTTTTCGGGTCATCTCTTCCATAAATGTCTGTGAAATACAAAAAATGAGAAGAGTTGAGTTTTCTTTTGCAAACAGGCAACTTCTTACCACTAAAGGCAAAGCCCATGATTACCCAAGTGATAGATGCCCCTGAATATGCTCATTACTTTTAAGAAATTTAATTGAGCAAGAAACTTTACCAAGAAAGACTAAAGACCTGAAGAAGTAAGACATAGCCTTTGACTTTCAGTGCTCACAGTTTGGTGATGAAAGCCCAAGACTCCCGAGTGCTAAGTGCCACTGAGGGCTCCCGGGAAGACCCCGGTGCACACCTCACAGCCTGAGGAGGCAAGGAAAGCTGAGCTGAGTTACTGAGGGACAAAGAATGGGGGCAAGGGAGGCAGTGTCAGCAGAAATGCAGCTCTGGCAGAGCAAGGGAGCCTGACAGCCTTGGGGACAAGGACCCTTTTCCTCACTGGCTGTGCAGAGGATACAAGTAGAGACTTGACAAGGGGCAGAGTTGAGAGGCAGCTAGAAGGAAGACCAAGAGAAGGTATCAGGGATAGGAGTTTTATTCTGAGAGCAATGGGGACATCCAGAGAAGAGATATATGATCAAATCTACAGTGTAAGCTGGGCATGTCCAACTTGCAGCTCACAGGCAGTATGGGCATGTGTCCCTGCAGTCAGTAATGCAGACTCACATGACACAAACTTTGAACACTACTGTGATTTTTAATCAATATTTTCATGACTTAAGTGCCTGGTGCAGACGCTGCCTCTGCAGCCCACTACAGTCAATGTACTGTGAACCATGATCTTCAAGGATGAAGTGTGTGAAGAGTAAAATTAGATACAGAATCTCTGTGAGCTCCTTGAGAATGCATAAAGGACTGACTGCAACCACTTACATCAAATCAGCCTGATACGTCAACTTCACAAAAAATGTCAAATACCCAACTAGCTTTATGTTGCCTTTTGATAATAAAAATATCTTTAAAAGGAAGTTTTGTTAGCTATGTACATTAACTACATTGCACATTTTATATGCAGCCCAAGATAGTCTTCACCCAGTGTGGCCCAGGCAAATCAAAGATTCAACACTCATGCTTTAGGAGAGCAATTGTGTGAGTGACTTCAGGGAAGATCTCAGAGTGATGGAGGGTAGTGGGGTTCAGGGAGAGACCAGCAGGAGGGACAGAGATTACAAAACCACTGCAATAATTGAGGCAAAACATGCAAGGGCGTAACAAGGGAGAAATGATAAAGCCCAGAAGCTATTTCAAAAGCAGGACAGGTAAGATGTGGTGACAGACTAGATGCAGGGGAACAGGAGACAGGTGAGACCCATAGCTTCTGTGTTGAACTGGGAAAGGAAAGAGAAAGCTTTGAAAGAAAAGGGTGGGGCCAGGTAAGGAGGCAAAGATAAAATGGAATTTTCTTTGTTTTTGAGACAGGACTTCATTATATTAACTTGGGCTGGTTGTGAGCTTGCAGCAATCCTCCTTTTCACCCTCCTGAGGGCTGGTACAGGCAGATGCCATTATGCCTGGCACAAAGTGGAATTTTATTTTATTTTATTTTTATTTATTTGAGAGAGAGAGAGAGAGAGAGAGAGAGAGAGAGAGAGTGTGTGGTGTGTGGCCAGCTCAGCCCACCAGGGGGCGAGGCTGGCTGGCATGTGGCGCTGGGGGATTGAACTGCGGTCCCCGATGCCTTGCTAAGCTTGTTCTAAGTAGGTGCCCTAGACCACTGAGCCATCTCTCCAGCCCCACAAAGTGGAATTTTAGAGCCGCTTCTAGTTTACATTATGTTTGGACTCCAAGAAGTTATGGTGCTGGGAGTGAAGAAAAAGATGTGGAAAAAAAAAAAAAAAGATGTGGAAATTTCTGATTTACAGATGACTTCTAAAGCTGCTAGACTAAATAAATCTTAGCAGTATGAGAAGTATGCCAAGAATGGAACGCCAGAGAATATCAACAAGTAGAGAGTGCAACAGGACCCAATAAAGATGAACGAAAAGGAGGATTTAGGGAGATCAGAAAAAAAATGGGAGGACAGTGAAGTCAAAGGAGAGTTTGAAGAACAAAGAGCCGACTATGTCAAATGTCAAGTAAGACAAAGAAGAGGACATGCCTGGAACCATGGTCTCATAGAGGAAGGAACCACAGTGTCCTGGGGAGTGAACAGAGAAGACAGGAATGGAAAGCCTGGTTGGAACAAGAGTGTGACAACAATGGCAGTAATCGCAGGGGAAACAGGCTTGAGGGGACATCTCTGAAAGCTCTAAAGGAAGAGAGAAAAGGAGAGCCTGAAGACAAAAAGGGGACTATGGGATAACCTAAAAGAGGACTCACTTTGATAAGGAGGATGACTTTGAGATCAAATGGGGAGGTGTCAGTGTAGATAAATCTCACCAAAATATAATGAGTTCTCATTTGCCAGAGTAATTTTCTACATAAACTAAAAAGGCTATACTTCCCAACAGTAAACCTAGGTAAACCCATGCCTGTGTTCAATGTAAATTAAAAACTGTACTTGCTTCCTTAGCACAAGCTATGAAGACAGCACAACTGAGCTTTTGCCCAGTTTATTTGGTCTGATGTGCCATCTTAGCCCTTTCTTAATGGTCAAGAGCTCTTCCTGAAGCCACGTGTAATGGGGATGGGGCTTTGGCTCTAAGACAGGTCAGTGGTGTGCATACTCTGTGTAACCTCGAGTGAAGGCCATACCTATGAAACAATATTACAGTCACTCCTCTGCTCACATTTCATTATGTAAGATCTTGCTGCAGCACATTGGATAGTTTTTCCTGCTGGTTTTGAAAACCCAGTGAGACTAGGACTTGAGGATAGCCTCTAGGACAGTGATGGCAAAGCTTTTAGAGCTTTCAATGATATACATTGTTCACTGCAGCATGTATGCAGTAGGTTCACTATCATTGCTATAGGAGTTGAAAGCCACCAACAAAATTGATGCTCAGTCCTATAACTGCAAGGAACTAAGTAAGCCTGGAAGAGGGTCCCAGAGATCAGATGAGACCTGAAGTACTGACATTTTGTTTTTGATTTTTTTTTTTTTTTTTTTTTTTTTTTTTTTTTTTTTTAGGGAAGGGCCTACAGGGTGTTCAGGGTCTCACTACTAGATTGGACTCATGGTAATCCACCTGTTTACAGCCTCCCAAGAGCTGGGATTACAGGCATGCGCCACCATGCCCAGTGATCAAACCCTGGCCCTTGCGCCTGCTTGCAGGTACTTTAATCTGCTGAGATATTTGGCTGGCCCTAGTACTGACACATTGATTTCTGCCTACTGAGATCCTTAAGAATATGACCCTGCTAACTCATGACCACACTCTTGACCTATGGAAGGATTTTTTGGGCTGGCTCAGGCTGCCTTAAGGGTGGGTCTGGTAAGGCATAGGGAGCTGGGGATCGAACTGTGGTCCCCTGCACCTGACTGAGTTTGCCCCAGCAGATGTTTAAACAACTGAGCTAAACTGCAAGCCCCTTCTTTTTTTTTTTTTTGCGGAACCGGGGATTGAACTCAGATCCTTGTGTTTGCCAGTCGACCGCTTAGCCTACTGAGCCATCTCCCTGGCCCCTGCAAGCCCCTTCTTGACCTATGGAAACTTTGGTCAGAATGAAATGTTTTAAGCAGCTAAGTTTATGATAATATGTGACACACAATTAAAGAAAGGTGCACAGGGGCCAGGTGCCACAGGGAGATGGCTCAATGGAATAAGCGCTTCCCTGGCAAGCGCAAGGGCCTGAGTTCAATCCCTGCTTCCGCAAAAAAAAAAAAAAAAGAAAAAAGAAAGGCGCACGGTATAAAGAAAATGGGCTCCATGACCACACAGAAAACACCAGCGAGATTAGGATACCTGATGCTCAGCTATAAGGGCTTTCACTCTGTCGATATTCTGAGGGATTGGCTCCTGATCTCGCTGAATGAGAGTAGTCTCAGCCCACTGGATCCATGCCAGAAGTTCTTCCAGGAGCTCAGCGTTAGCCACCAGCTCTGACAGGGCAGTTTCCAGGCGCTGTTGGTGTTGTTTTGCCCATGTTAGGACCTGTGGAGAGAAAAGAAAACCATCCCCTGTTCCAAAGCCCATTTTTCATCTGATCCACACAAGGAATTTGGAGAGAAAAGACTGCCCAGTTAAGAGGCTTCTCTCTTACCCCAGTGAGAAAACTTGGCTACAAGAACTAGCCAGTTCTCCTATGAGGAGATTCAGCACATCCTAGTCCATCCCAGAAAGGAGGAAAGCAAAACACACAATGTATCTACCATTCATCACTGTACCAGTACTATTTTTCCAGTCTACTACACATTACCAAGAAGTCTTTACTAAAATGCCAACTTAAATTTTGTTAGTAAATTCATAATGAGTAAAAAGTTCCTTTTCTGAGGGAATAAGAAATTTGAGTCTTACTTTACCACTACAATCTTGTATCTGGGTAGGTGACTCACCTCCTCAAAGCGAGCTCGGATGATTGTGATCCAGTGTTTAATGGTTGTGATGCAGTCAGGATGGCAGACTGCTAGGATCACTTCCCCCATAGATACTGCTGCATTCACATCCACTCGCTTTTCTTCTACTTTCGTCATAAACTCCTAAACAAACAAGGATCAACAAACATATTGTCAGCACTATTCTCTTATACTCAGAAAGGAAAGAAATTTTAGTATTATCTTTTCCCTATACATGTTAGCATTGGCCTCTTCAAGGCCCTATCTAGAAGTCTGTATTTTCTTTTCCAGTTCTACCAGATGTGGGAAGGTAAATAAGGCACAGAGGTATGCCCTTCTTTTTTTCTTTTGAATTAGTTTCTTCTTAAAAATCTTAACTTAATTCATTTCCACATTTGTAAACATGTTTTTCTTGGGAAAAATATAATTATCAACAGCACATATTTATTTATTTATTTTTTTTTTGTGGAACCGGGGATTGAACTCAAGATCTTTGCGTTTGCCAGTCAAGCGCTTATCCTACTGAGCCATCTCCCCGGCCCCGACAGCACATATTTAAAAAATACCCACTACAGGATACAAGGACAAAACCAATATTAAAGCCTCTGGCTAGGTATCATGAAAACTGGAAAAAGAAATAGCATTTTCCACTTCATCAGGGTACACTGAGGTCTCAGATATGGGATATTTTCTATAGCTTGGTAAGTAGTTCTTAGAGATCAGACCAAGGCCCAAGGCTGGAAGTGTAATAAGGCATGAACAGAGATGTAATGAAAGGGAAATGGTCTCCATTTTCTTTACATAATAATATGTCATTTTACTTGTTTACAACCAACATGAATCATTTTTAGAAAAAAAAAAAAAATCAATGAATGTTGATGTTTAAGGTAGCACAAAAACTATGCATCATTTCCTTCTCTTTCCTGTTCACTCAACAAATTAGCCCATTCTGATTCTGCTCCTTTTTGCTTTTATGTCCAAGCAAAGCCTGCTTTCCTGAGCAGTGGGGCAGTCTTCGGTGATGTGACGGGCAACACAGGTCACTGACTCCTAGGCTAGATTACCTTGTGGGTATCAATGAGAGACTGCAAGGCTTCTGTGTCATCAGGAAGTGCCCCCCGAAAGCGAAGAGTTTGCTCTGCTTCAGAGAGCCACTCCAACAGCATGTGGACTGTGTCCCGAAACTCTTCAGCCTGAAATAACCAAGCACAAAAGATTGGACCTCTCTCTGCAGCTGAGGCCCTAGACTCTGGGACATGCCTGTGAATGGGTCTGGGACTGAAAGTGAATCACAGGCACTTCCTGCCCTGGTCAAAGCTCCACCGAGGTCACCTTTCATTTGTAGATCTTCAAAAGCCATGCACTTGTTATTTCTCTAACACTAATGAATGGCAAAAGTCCTGAAGAACATTCAGAATATCAATTCTTACACTATATTCAAGACTGGCTTGAACTGAGCCTCATAAAGAAACTAAAACAAATATGCCCATATCCCTGCCTTGGATTGATTCCCAAATTGTCTCTTACTTGTTTTAAAGCCTGCTCAAGACGGCTTTGCTTGGAAACGGAGAGTTTACAAACAGTGTCCCAACGAGTGCTCAGTTCCTGTAGCTGTCCTTTTACCCAAGTGGTATCATCTCGACTGTTCTCAATCAGTTCTCTTCCTGATCGCTTCAGAACCTGAACAGTTCCTGTTCGTTTTCCAAGTTCCTTCTGGAAAACCTAGAAAAGACAGAAATAGTTTGTCTTGCAAACATTTTGTTTCAGTTCAAGCAGTAAAGCTACAGAGAAGGGTAATCATTTCCTTGGTAGGCTCTAATCATGTGTCTTTTTTAATCTAGAGAGGCAGAATGATGTTTAAGAACTAGCTCAACATTAGCTCAATGACAGCTCAGAGACTTAGAAAAGGGCTGAGGAGACAGCTCAGTATCTTAAGTGCCTGCTTGGCAAGCACAAGGTCCCGCGTTCGATCCCTGGTACCACACAAACACAAAAAAACCATGATTTTGGATAACATGTTTAAACTCAAGTCTTGGTTTCCTTTTCTGTAAAATGGGAATAATTATACTAACACTTCTAAAATTATGGGATATACACATGAACACACCTGCAGTTTACAGAATAAGAATTTGGTAACAGGAAATATGAAGATCTTTTTTCAAATGGGAAGGGGGACAAGTGATGGATGCAGTGGGGAGGAAGGGAAAAGAAAAGGGAAAGAAATGAAGGATAAAATGGAAATAGAACATTTGCAAATGGGAAGAGAAATAAGAGTTTGAGGGAACAGAGAAGGATGGGAATGAAAAAAGATGGAAGAATTAAGATGTGCTACTTCCATGTGCAAAATCCTCCCCAATAAATGTAACACATGTAAGCATGTATTAATAAAAAAATGAAATGTGATATAAAAAATAATTTGATATAATTTCAAGATGAAAGTTTGTATTGAGACAGCAGGATATTATGCAATGCAATATGACTGGTGTAGGCTACACTGAATAGTGGCGAAGGTTCAAAATGGTTTTTTTTTTGCTCCCATAATTTTACTGAGAAACAAATAGCAATGAGACAATTTCAAACCAAATTGGTAGGACAGTTTCAGTAACACACTGCATACATTCTTCATAGTGGTTAATTGCTGTACAAGATGTGGACATATCCTATTTACAAACACTATTAGAACAAATCCCTCTATTCATTAAGAGAATGTAACTATATACCTATCCTAACCATTTTGAATACAGATACAAAAAGGACATTCATCTGTAGCCCCTTTTTTGTTTAGTTCCATTATTTGAATACTACAGGTGTGTGAACTCAGCTTTTTTTTTTTTTTTTTTTTTAACTGGGGATTGAATTCAGGCCCTCGCACTTGCCAGGCAAGCACTTGTTCTACTGAGCTATCTCCCCAAAATATTCTAAAAGAGTCCAGTAGTCCATAATAGTATTGGGGCTTCCGCTTCACTGGCTATGTCAGAAATTATTGACCTGAGTCCTCTACAGCTCAACATAACAGCATGGCTTTACTTCTTATACTTTGTTTTTATACTTTTTTTGCTGGATGGTTAAGACCAAGATAAAGCAAGACCTATGCAACAAGAGTTGTAGCTTTTGGGTCTGATAAGTTCAGTGAAATCCCCTCAGAATTTATCTTGAGATCCTGTACCTCAGATTGTAGATCCTTTGTCAGTGTCAGCCATGTGGATGAGTCACGGCCGTTGCTTGGCCAATGTGCTCTCTGTGAAAGCCTGAGAGAATGTTTTCTCTCCATGTGACTCTCCTTAGGCACCCTCTACATCATTGATCACTTTCCTCTTTGGCCCCATAATCTCCTTGATCAAAAAATTTGGGACACTACCGAGTTGCATGACATTACAATACAAGTTCTCATATGTCCTGAGTCTTAATTGACCTTGGAAGGCTAGGGCCAAAATGTTGGGTTTTCCTTGCAGCCCTCCTTTTTCTCTAATTTTGGTCTGCAAACTTAGGTTGTTAACCCTCCAGAAGAGAAGCTTATTGTTATTACCATACAACCTAGGCTGTTAAGCTTAACTTCACTATCTGTCTGAATATCAAACATCTTAGGCATAACATGAAACTAGTATTTTTCATCAAGTATTGATATGTTGAACTTTAAGTCCCTACAGAATATGATGAAAAAACATTTAAAAATTAGAATATATTTTAAAAATAGGCATAAAGAATTATATACTTCTTATGTTTACACGGTAAGTCAAAAAATCTAACCATATACAACCTTGAGGCAGGATAGTCCCACAACATTCCTTTTCCTGTCTCCTGCCTTCATTCACCACCCCCTTCTTTTTGAATAATCATCTACCCAAGAGACAGCACAACAGCAACTGGTATGTCATGACAAACAGCCCGTATTCAGAAGACCAGAATGACAGGTACTCCAAGCATGAACCTACTATTATAGACTGCCATCTTCAGTGCAGTTCAAAATGGTTTTAAAAAGAATCTCTCATTTGTTTTTAGGTGTTAGTGGGAAGGAACACCTTAAGAGTCTCCTGAACTTAGTAAATTTTAGTAAATTTTTTGTGACTGATGCACAATCTCAGCAAAAGTTTAAACACAGAAAACAAGGAATCAAGGTGGGGTGGGGGGGAAGGGGTAGAGGGGAAGTAGGTCAAAACAGAATCAAAAAGTATTACGTACATGGACCATGATCATTATGATCATATGATCATTATGTATTACAAACATGTACTAATAAAAAATTAAAACTTGGCGAGGTGGGGGCGGGGGAGAAAACAAGAATCTACTTCTCAGCAGAATGCAGGCTCTTAATCTCTTCCCCCTGGTTAGTTGACCCAAACCAAAAGGCACAGAGAGGTAGAAGATTCAATGGCATTGCCTTCTGTGAAGCCTAAATGTCACTTCTCACCTTATGTGCATCCATGAGGTTCATGACAAGGTCAAGGTCCCCATGCACAGGTTGGTCCTCTGCCAGCTGCGGCTCTACCTTGTACAACCAGTCGACCAGTGCTTGCAGGGCATCCATGAACTGGCCAGAGAACAGCAGTGCTTCCTCCAACTTATGCTGCCTGAGAAAAGAATAGAAACTCCAGCATTTTTAGGAATTCCTTCTTTTTTTTCCTTGAGACACAGCATCACTCTGTGCTTTGGTTGGACCAGAACTCCCTGTCCTTCCACCTCAGCCTCCCTAGTGCTGGGACCAACACCAGGCTTGGATTTAGGGGTTCTTTATAAGAACAGTTCACAATTCTATCTACTGAAAAAGAATATTGCTTGAACCCTTGAGTGACTTCACGTCAGCACAATTAAGAGTAAAAAGTGACAGAGAGAGGGGCACAGATATCTTTTTAAAAAAATTTTATTTATTTATGTGTATGTGTGTGTGTGCGCGCGCGTGTGGCCAGCTCAGCCCAGCAGGGGGCGGGGCTGGCTGGCATGTGGTGCTGGGGGATTGAACCGTGGTCCCTGTGCTTTCGTTAAGCTTGTTCTAAGTAGGTGCTTTAGACCACTGAGCCATCTCACCAGCCCCACAGATATCTTTTTTGAGACAGGGTCTCACCATGCAGTTCAGGCTGGACTTGAACTTGCTGCAATCCTCCTGCCTCAGACTCCCGAGTGTTGAGGTGACAGGTGTGAACCACCACACCAGCTTCATAGACATTTTAAAACTACTTTTTAGTTTAGTACAGTGCACTAAATGGGTATGGACACCCCTCTGGGAATCTATAATCCAGTGATACAAGGACATACCCTAACAACTAGAGGTCTGTGTTAACTGTTGCACTTTAAGCAGAGAATGGTGCTTAGTTTTGGTAATGGTGTGCAGTCAGGAGTTAACTCTCAGCTCCATACTATTTGTGTGATCCTGGCCATCTCTTTAACTTTTTGAAGTGTGTTAGCTTTATCAAAAAAGTTAGAAGTGCAAATAGGACACAGAAATTACCATATTTAGCATAGCCTCGTGGATGTGAGTGGATGAAAGAATAGCTTCTAGAACCAAACTGCATAGGTTCAAACCCCAGCCCTCCCACTTAGCTGAGTGACCCTGGGGAATTAAGAAGCCTCTTGTGAACATTTTTCTCACTTCTAAGATAGGAATAAGAGTTGTAGCCAACCTCACTGGTTCTTACAACTGTTAACAATTAGGGGGCATTATTTGGAACATATTCAGTAGTAACTGTCTGGTAAGGCTTCTTATTGTTATGGTTATATACATAAAGAGAATCTGTATAGTGTCTCACACACAGTGATAGCATATAAGAAGTTATTGGTATTACAAATCTGTGATTTATCAATATTTAGAGTTACTTAACTTCTGTTACTGATACGATTTTATAGGTCTCTCTCTTGCTAATACAGTAAGCTTCAAGTTTATGTTCCCCCTCCCTTTTTTTGTGGTACTGGGGATCTAACTCGGGACCTTGCATACCCAAGTCAGGGGCTTATGCTGCTGAGCTGTCTCCTGGCAGCTTCAAGTTTAAAATAATTGCAATACATTCTGTTTAAATCACAGGATGATACTGAAAACTTCCTACTGATGCTTTATCATTATCTCAAGTCTCAGTTACTTCTGGCATATCATCTACCCTAAAGACATGAAAGCTCACCGCTCCACAGACTTGCCACAAACAGTATCCCATTTGTCTCTAACTTCTCCCAGTAAGTTGTCCAGTTTCTGTGTATCATCTGCAAGCAGAGTCTTCTCTTTCAATGCTCTCCCAGTTCTAATTGTGGTATCATACACGGGCTGTTTGCCACCAAGTGTTTTCTGAAACTCCTGTTTTCAGAAAGAGGAAAAAAAGATAAACAAAATGTTAAAAAATAAAAACAAACGAGTCAGTATGGTGGCGCACACCTGTAATCCCAACACTCAGTAGGCTGAGGCAGGAGGATTGCCGAGTTTGAAGCCTGCCTGGGTTACACAATGAACTCAAGGCCAGCCTAACATACAGAGCGAGATCTTGTCTCAGGAAAAAAAAAAAGTTACAAAGAAAAAAAAAAAAAAGATGATGCTGTCTTAATATGGATCAACTATATATATATTTCCCCCGCTGCCCCGGCTGTACCAGGGATCAAACTTGGGACCTTGTGCTTGCCAGGCAGGTGCTTATGCTGCTGAGCTATCTCCCCAGCTCTGACAATAAAAAATGTGAGTTCAGGATAGAGATCAAATAGGGGTGGATGTGATGGCATATGTCTGCAATTCCAGCTACTTGGGAGACTGAAATAGGAGGACTGCAAACTCAAAGTCAGACTGAGCCAATTATTAATACTGTGTTTGACAAAGAAAAAGTGAGTAAAGATGTAGCTCAGTGATAAGAGTACTTGCCTAGTGTGTGAGGCCCTATGTTTCATCCTTAGTGCAGCAAGAGAAAATAATATCTTGTACAAAAAGCCCAATTAAAATTGACAATAACCTACTATAAAGATTTTAATTTTTTATTTATGTCACTTACAGCAGCACATAACAATTTCTAAAAGTCTATAGTATAGCTTTAGACAGTTACTTCTATAACCACTTTGCTTGTACGCTTTCTTAAAAGTAAAAAAGCAACGTCATAGCACCTAGATATAAAATGGAACCCTGGGGCTGGGACTAGAGGTGTAACTCAGTGATAGAGCACTTGCCTAGCATATATGTCAGGTCCTAAGTTCAAGGCCCAGGACTGAGAAAATAAGAAAAAAGGAACCCTTCATCATCTTGTCTTTAGCTCTGATTTCTAATCTTAAGAATGCCAAGCTCAACACTTAAGAACAATTAACTATTTTACCTTATGCTTAGAAAGCTGCAGTTTAATTTTGTCTGGGTCATTGGATATCTCCAATTCTGAGTCTAGATGACTCTCTGCATCTTCCAGCCAGTCAATCAGTTTCTTCCAAGCTTCATGGAACTAAAATTACATAAGTCACACATTGCAACAGAATAAATAAGCAAATCACATAATTAATGTATGAGAACCATCACAGAAACTCAGACATGCAGCCTAAGTTTGTTCAATAAATTAACATCTTTTATAACTTACTTGTTTTGCCCGCTTCCTGGCATCATCTAGTGATCGCCCTCTTTCAATAGATCGCTGGACAACTTTCTCCCACCGAGACTGGACACTAACTAACAAATTCTTGATCAAAACAACATCCTGTTTTTGGCTAAGGAACTTTAACTGATTGCCTGTTTGATCCAGCTCTATGATGTGGTCTCGATGGGCATTCACTTCATTAGCAAAAACCTGTGGGAACAACATTGGTCTTTAAGATAAGAAAATACTACTCCCCCTTCCCAAGGAAGGTAATACCATGAGTCATAGTTACCTTGTGATCCTCTATCTGGGAAAGCACAGTGTTTAAAATCAGGCTGGGGGGAGAAGCAATGTTTAAACTCTGCTCTGCTAGAGTGAGCCAGTTGATAAATTCTTGTAGGGAATTCTGGAATTCTGTTGCCAAATTCAGGGCCTCTTCCAGCTTTAACTGAATTTTAAATAAAAGACAAAAAGAAAAGTGCTAAACCCAGGAATTACAGATTCAATGACAAAGGCATGAAATACACACCAAATGGAATGACCTCCAAACAGGAAGCCTCACTTAGCCTCCAAACATTTTGTTCGTGTAAAGAAATAGACATTTTAATATTAGTGTTTGAAACTGAAACAATCCTTTTTTTTTTTTGGCGGAACCAGGGATTGAACTCAGACCCTTGCGCTTGCCAGGGAAGCGCTTATTTCACTGAGCCATCTCCCCGGCCCCTGAAACAATTCTTATGTAGAAAAAGAAAGCATATAATTAGTGGCTGAGTTCCTTTCTCAGCCACCTTCTCCCTCTTGGGACATGTAAGAACAGGGGAAACTATCTGAGAAATGTAAGTGAACAGACCCTTAGTGGGGAGAGCCATGGGGCCTGCAACCTGCTCTGGGCAATCTCCATTTTTTTTTTTTTATTATTTGTTTTGATGGTGTAAAGAGAACTAAATGAAAAGCACATGACTACAAAGACAATGCCATGATACTGCTGTCTACATGTTTTCAGAAATGTGGCACATGAAATGCCTAGGTCTAAAATGTATGCTTATCCCATGAGTAGAAAAGGTAACGAGAAAAATTACAACAAAAACTGCAAAAATCTAATACCACTGGATGAAAATTTTCAGACATTCAGAATGGCAAAGTATGCTATTAATGGGGAACACACTCCAATTCCAGAGTCTATAAGCTCCCTCCCTCAGGGTCTCATACCTTCCGATCACTTTTTCTGCTAGCTCAACACCTATGTAGGCAAAGCAAATCAACAGCAGGCTGATAAAAATGAATATCCAAGCTGTAACCCCAGCTACTCAGAAGGCTGAGGCAGGAGAGCCAAATTTATAGCCTAGCCTGGGCAACTTGGGGACTTAGCAAGACCTTATCTCAAAATAAAAATACACATAAAAAGCCTGGGGACTTATTATAGCATTCCCTAAGCTTAATTTCCAGCACTGGGGAAAGGGAGAGTATATTTAAGAATATGTTAAAAATGAAAGTATGGATTGAGTGTGGTGCATGCTTGTAATTCCAGCACTCAGGAGGCTGAGGCAGGAATACTCTTGTAAGTTTGAGGCCAGCTTGGACTACACAGTGAATTCAAGGTCAACCGGCATTATATATAGTGAGACCTTGCCTCAATAAAACAAAACAAAACCAAAACAAAATCCTTAAGATAAATGTTTTAAAATTGTACAGAGCTATGCATGTGCAAACATCGTACTGTCTTGTTAGTGTAAGAATCTGAAAGAGTAAACTGACCTGATTTAAACAGGTAGAGCATGGAAAATAAGGTCTACCTTAAATCTGCCATAGGAATACTTAGAAATTAATATGCTCCAGATTCCTTGGCAGCAGGAATTTTTCCTTATCATTCATTATATCTACAATAATATAGCCCCATACACATTTAGTAAGTGAGCTTACAATCCTGAAATGTAAAGCTACTACAACATCAGAAATGGCTATACCTGACACCTGGCTTTTCTTGATCGGTTCGTATGATAACCACTGAAGTCTTTAGACACTCTACAGTACCTTTAGGAAATGTGTTGATTGTGAACCAGACTGCCCCAGTTTCTCTAGTCTCACCTTTGTGTTCTGCTTGTGCAGAAGCCTGTCCACAGCTTAGAATATAGCCTGTACTCAGGTCCTCTGGCCATTCTTCATACTACAATCACTCCACCCCATGCAAGGACTGTGTGACATGAATGCTTCTCTCAAGATGTTTATCTCTATGTGTGAAAAATCTGTCTCATGTCTTACTGCCCATCAGCTTCATGATAGGGTCCACTCATCTATTGTTTCCACTATAAACTAGCATAGTGTCTGGTGTGTGCTTCTATGTATTGAGTAGATACTCAACAGGTTTGCATGTATATTTCAGTCAGTCTAACAAAAAACAATAAAACTCTGTACTCACAAAAAACAATCTTTTGAGGGAAATGTCTCAATCTTGGTTGCCTTTCCTATTAGACAGAACACTCGATTTTGTTGAAATAGTGGGAAGTCCTACAATTTACTTCTCTTTTGAACTTCTAGTACTGCATGCTGTACTTATACTAGAAACCAAATACCTTGTGGAAACTATTAGTCATACTCCTTACCTGCCCTGTTTCTACCTCCTAATCACAACTGACCATCTCCAATAAAACCCTGTTTTAGAGGCTGGTGAGATAGCTCAGTGGTCTGAAGTGCCTGCTCAGGCAAACTTAGGCAAAGCGATCAGGGACTACGGTTTGATCCCCAGTACCGCATGCCATGCCAGCCCTGCCACCTGGGTGAGCTGAGCCAGTCACAAAAACAAACAAACAAACAAACAAACAAACACCAAACCCTGTTTTAAGCAATTAACACAAATGGGTTGTTAATACTGGACACAAAGTCCACCACTAAACAGTAGCAGAAAGTAACATCTTAACTGGCAGAAAAACAGAATAAATTATAAAAGCAATTGTCAACAGAAATACTCATTAATGTTCTTTACAAGGATGGAGATAGCTGGAACACTACGTAGACAAATCTGAGAGTAGCAGTTCTGCAACTTATTAAAATTATCTTTGAAAAATTATCAATATCACTAAGTAAATTGTTCAAATGTAGTGCTTTGCAGTGATACCTTTCTTTCTTCCAATTTACTGCTGACCACATGCCATTTCTGCTCCAAGAGTGCTATACTCTGCTCTGTCTTTGAGCCAGATCCAGAATCACCACGGCTTAGGAGCATGAGCCTGCCTTTGTCAAGCAGTTGATTGTAAGTCTCCTCCTTTGCTTTCAACTGGGAATATAGTTCCTACAAAAAAAGACAAGACAGATATCATAGTACTCATTCCCACAGACATTCAAGATGCACCAGTACTGTCTGGAAAAGCCCAGGAAGGTCTCATCTTGATTTAAAAGCTGCTTTTCCATGCAGTACAACTGCCAAACCATTAAAAAATAAAATCCAACTATTTTATCTAACTGTCAAACTATTAAAGAATAAAATCCATCATCCTTAATACTATTTGTACAAGTACAAAGAACACAAAAAAACCCCTTTTATCATCAAGTTTCTTTTTCAAAAAGAACTTGCCTAGAAATCATGTTGCCTTTTGTTTTCAATGCAATATATATACAAACTTTTTTTCTTCCTCTGAAAGGGCTCTGCTATAGCGTAAGGTGTCTTTGAACTTGCAGAGATCCTCCCGTCTCAGCTTCTAAGTACTGGGATTAGAGTTATGTGGCACCATGCCTAGCTTCATCACTTTCTTGAAATATTAACAGAATTTTTGATTTCCTTTAACCCCACTGCATAGTCTTCTTAAATACAAACATATCTTTGCTACATATTTATCTTCCTCCACCCCCTGGTACCGGAGACTGAACCTAGGGCCTTATACATGCTAGACACATGCTCTACAACCAAGCTATGTACCCAGCCCATTACCTGTCTTCTTGATTCACCATCTTCTGACTATATTGTTATGCTGACTAAACAGGTTAACTCAAAATTTACCACCTCAGGCCAGGAGATAGCTCAGTAGTCTAAGTACCTGCCTGGCAAGTATAAGGACCAGGTTTGATTCCTGGTACCACACGTTATCCTGGCCCCACAATGTACTGGCCACTGAAACGGGTATGGTGGCACATGCCTGTAATACAGATGCTGGGAGGGCTGAGACAGGAACATCACTATGAGTCCAAGCTGCAAATTACGGGCAGGGCAGATAGCTCGGTAGAATAAGCACTTGCCTGGCAAGTGCAAGATCCTGAGTTCAATCAACAGTATGGCCAAAAAAATAAAACAATAAAAAAAAAAAAAAAAATTTACCAGCTTGCTGGTGCCCTTCTGGCTGACTAGCTCCTGTCACTACTGCTACCCTAGTTAGTAATAGTAAAGTTGGTAGATAAGTAGCATTACCCAAGTGTGCATGACACATCGCTAGTAAAAATGCACTCCTTTGTAGACTCCTAGATCTATATATCACTGTGAACTCAGAAAGTACAGGTGTGGCTGCTTATGTTCTATTTGAAGGAGCCACCATTACCATATGTGTATCAAGCTGCTCCCTAGCAGTTTCAGGAAGTCCTCCTGTGGGTTTAGATGCAGACAGCTGGCTCTCCATTCTAGTCAGCTCCAAGAGGAAATCTTCAATTTCACTGTGGAAACCTTGGGCCTTTTGAGAAAGACATTATCAGCAATGTTAGTAGTCAAGTCTCAGCTTCAGTGTAAACTAAAGAATCCTAGGAGGAACTGTGAGGAATGTGGGGATGCTAGTTATTCTTTGGCAGCTTTGGCACAAAGTATTTGATTACTGATGGAATCTAGCATAATCCTTCAGATTTCACTACAACACAGTACATATCTGGCTAAGGTTCTGTGGAAGAGAGAAGAACTTGACTTGATACAAGAAAAAAATTAAAATCTGAATGGGGTGGTTACAGTGAAGATCTACTTTGAATAACAAATAGACTGAGCTACTAATTAATCCAAGAAGAGCCATATAATAAAAAACTGTTCTTTTCCGGTAAGTTTTCCAAGGTTTCTACCACAGTAGCTCTCCTCTTTGACTTAGGCCTTCTCCCAGCTGCAGCAGCGTGCAGACCTCCTGCTCCTTCCTTGGATGGCGCACATACCTGCTGCAGTGTTGACTGAAGCTGCTGTTCCCTCTCCTCTGTTTTCTGCAACACTGACTCCCAGCACTGGTTCATAGTTTCCAGGCGGCTTCGCAGGCTGCTGGCATCATCTCCAGCACTAGATTCAAGAAGCTCATTGCCGGCTTTGTTGACTGTTTCCACTGTGGCTTGATGAGCCAAAACATCATTTTTTAGAACCTGTAAGATATTGAATGGAAAAAAAAAAAAAAAAAAAGATGTTCAATGATATTAATTCATCCTATGAGTATCATCAAACCTAGTTCTCTAAGGTTTACATGATATAAAAAAGCTGTGGGAGGCAATACAACAGGGCTGGGAGGGCCTTTGTGATAACTCAGCAGACTAAGCACTTGTTTAGGCAGGTGCAGGGACTGGGGTTCAATCCCCAGCACCAGAATCAAGGGTGTGCTGAGATAGGGCATGGTGGTGTGTGCCTGTAATCCCAGTGCAGGGGAGGGTGAAAATGGGAGGATCACTACAAGTCTGAGCTGCATAGTGAGACCCTGTACCAAATAAATAAATAAATGGTCAGTCAAACCAATAGAGCTGGAGATGAAATATGAAAATACTTACATGGTGTTTTGCAAGTTCAACTTCAATGACTTTTGGGTCTCCACTTATTGGCCTCTGAGCATCCAGCAACTCTTCGGTGTGAGTCAGCCAGCCCATAAGTTCCTCTAGGGCATGCTGGAACTGGCCAAGGGCCAAGAGAGCACCTTCTAGCTTATGCTGTTCAGAACAAGACAGAAAACGAAGATTTGTTAGGTAATTAAAGAGCAAAGAGCAATTTGCTTGTATCCTCATCCACTCGCCTCACCTGTCTGTAGGCAATTTTTTCACCCAGGTTCTCCCAGAGGTGTTTGAGTTCTGTCAATGGTTCTCGTATAATGTCTCTATCTGTTTCGTCAGTAGCTTTCTTTAACATTAGTTCACCCTGGTGATTGAGCTTCTCCATCTCAATTTGCTGCTGGTAAACTTCAACTTTGAACTCCTATCAAAGATGTACTTGGTATCAATATCAGATTAAGCCTTTAAAAATTACCACACAACTGTTATTCCAAAGCTATTCTGGGATACAAACCTTCATTTCATTTAACTGATCTTTAACAGTGTTGAGGTCAGTGCCGACAGGGGGCATGGTACAGAGTTTGATCACAGTGTTATCCAGCCAATCAAACATAGCCTAAAATAAAAATACAGAAATAATAAATAAAAAACAAAAACATGGAAACATGACCTGAATCTAGAAAATGACCAAGGGCTGGCCAAATAGCTCAGCAGATTAAAGCGCCTGCAAGCAGGTATAGGGGCTAAGGGTTTGATCCCCAGGCTGCCGTGCCAGCCCCACCCCCAGGGCGTGCTGAGACTGGGTGCAGTGGTGCAGCCTGTAATCCCAGCTCTTGGGAGTCTGTAAACAGGCAGATCACTAAGAGTCAGATTTGATAGTGAGACCCTGAACACTCTGTAGACCCTTCTCTAAAAAACAAAAACAAAAACAAAAACAAAAGTAATGACTGAGAGAAGATGGAACCTGTACTTCTTGGGTGGTCACTGCCTGGCCTTTTACCTGAAGAGTGTCTTGATAATGCACAGCGGCTTGCATTGCATCTTCAAGTTTTTCAAGCCTCTCTTTCCATGTTTTGTTTAAGTTCTCCCAAGCATTATTCATCTAGGAGAAAAACATTCCATTAGATTTTCTAATTAATGCCACTCTCCAGGCAGAATCCACTAATGTTTCATCTGAATCCCTCATCCATTCTCCATACCTCATCAATGCTCTTCTTCACTTCGGGCTTCTCAGTTTCGCCACAGGCAAAAATCAAATCTGCTCCAAGGATTCGAATAAATTCCAACTCCTCATGTAGACCATCTGTCTCCTCCTTAATAGTCTACATGTAAAGGAACAACACGTTGAGTCATAGCAGAAAGCAGAACAGAACTTGCCAAACTTACAGCACATTGAGAGAACAACCACTGAACACAACTGTCACTCTTTCAATACTTCTCACATTCTGTTTTATTTAGGTAGCGTAGCTTCAGGCTCCAAGTGGCTGCTGCTCATATATGCAACATATATCAAATATACATATATAAGTGAATATGCAATGAAAAAACTGCAAGAATAAAAATTTGGACAGTATAGGAAAGATATAATGAGATTTGATAATAGCTCTCTCCTGCCTCCAGGGAAATTATAATATGGAGCCAGAGGTCTAGTTTCAGAGAGAAATATAAACAATGGGGAAACAGTACTGTGCAAGTCACAAAAATGTCACTACTGACAGACTTGTGTAGTGGTAGTGCTGTGCTGTATAACCCCGAAGAAAGCCAGTTCTGTTCCAGTTACCAAAACATGATATTATGGGATAACAGAGGGGTGAGAAGAAGAGTTTCTATATGGGAAAATTTCTAAAATTAAAATAGGAAATATGAAGGGCAATACCAAGATAGGCCTGTTTGTGCTAAGTGGACTAGATAAGACATATGTTTATTACATATAGACTCCCCAGAAAGGTTGAAGAAGGGTGTATCATCCATTGCACCAATGGCCCACGCTAAAAAGATGTTAAAGTAACAACAGTCCACTCTGGATGATGAGTACAAAAAAAAAAGCTTGCTTTTTTTTCCTACATAAAGAAATTTACTATAATAAGCAGATATATTTGTTTTCAAAGTGGAAAAAAGTCTTACAAAACAAAACAAAATGGGGGCCAGGAAGATTGCTCAGTAGAATAAGTGCTTCCTTGGCAAGCACAAGGCCCTGAGTTCAATCCCTGGTCCTGGGAAAAAAAAAAAAAGATTTCCAAAATACTTTCAAAGTACCCAGTCGGGCTAAGGCAGCTAACACAACATACTTGGATAAAATGCTTTGCTAAAGGACACAGGTAAGACAGGTTTTGTGTTTCTTTTACCTCAGCAGCTTCAACTTGTTGTTTGATGATGGATGGGTCAATGCCTGGGCTTTCTAAGTCATGGACTATATCCTGGGTGTCTCTGATGGTGGTCAAGAGAGCTGCCATGTCGTACCAGAATTTCTCCGCCAATTCAAGGACATCAAGGAATTTAATTTCACGTTCTTCAGCCCGAGCTTTGATGTCCTCCCAGAAGAACACCATTTGATCCAGTTTGTCCTGAATTTCTGACAGGGATAAAGAACAGCAATTCTCTAAATATTTCAAAGCACTGTTATCAGAAATTGTGTCTAATTCTGACACTTTCAGTGAAACTATCTTTATTTTTTTTAAAGAATTATTTATTTATTTATTTATTCATTCATTCATTTTGTGTGTGTGGCCAGCTCAGCCCACCAGGGGGCGGGGCTGGCTGGCATGTGGTGCTGGGGGATTGAACCGCGGTCCCTGTGTTTTGCTTAGCTTAGCTTGTTCTAAGTAGGTGCTTTAGACCACTGAGCCATCTCACCAGCCTGAAACTATCTTTAAAAGCAGCTCTGAAAATTTTTAACTGATGGCCAGTCTTCCATGTTAGTTTTAGTACTATTTTTGCTACACTAATATCTTCTGTTTATGTTGGTCCCCACAAAAAAGGATCAATAGAGGCTATCTAGAAATCCCAACATAAAGGTGCTGCTGACATTAAAAAAAAAAAAAAAAAAAAAGAAGAAGCTGATAGGGGAACTCTAGATTTAGTATTCTGTGCTGAACTTGTGTGTTTCCCATGGAAAGTGTTATAAAAGGTAGTCATGTTCTACCCACTATTGATACTGCAGTTTACTCACATTAGGGGTTAAAGAAGCATTTGTTTTCTGGCCCGGGAATCTAACTACCAATTGTAACCTTGTTTCAATGGGAAAATGTGTCCTGAATTCTAAATGACTTCCAAATGACTTCGTGGAATACTCATTACTTGGAGGCTACCTTTATATTCAATAAAATACATCTGGGAGGAAGCTGGAGATAATTGCAGCTGGAATTTACTGACTTTTTGAAAATACAATGTACCTTTTGCAGCCAGATCCTTGTCTGCTCCTTGAGATCGTCCAATGAGCTCTTCTCCACAGCGCCTCAGGGCCTCAAAAGATGGCTGCAGTTTTTCGAGTTCCATGGTGGCACTCTTATTGTCACTGATGCACTCTCTGATCTTGTCCACTTCAGCAGGGATCAGGGGTGGCATACGGAGGCGAGATGAAAGATTCTCCAGAGTCTCCAACATGGGCTCAATTTTATCATGGAACTAAATAAAGTTGGAACATCAGGCAACAGTGCAATATTTCATCACATTTAACAAAATATTAGGGAATAAGGACAAGGCATAAATCTGCTATTGTTTAGGATAACCTGTGCTCAACTGAGCCTGTTAGCTCTTAAATGTTGGGTTTAGCTAAGAAACGATTTTGGACATAGTACCCCAGAGGTGCTGGGGGGAGTATTTAATTTCAGAATCAAAAGAGATTAAGAAATATGACAAATCAACTCAGGTCATTAGTGCTGTCACACTATTTCTCCTACTCTTAACTAGTATGACGAAAAGGGACAAGACCATGAAACTGGTGAGTCAGTATGTGAACATCTTAGATGACACTTGCATGCAACAGATCAGACCACAAGTTAGATGCCCTCCACCGGCTGTGCACATGGATGGGAAACTTAATATGCTGCATGAGGCAGAGTTTAAAAGTATCCGGGAATACAATTTAACAAATACTGTATGGAACAGCCAGAACAAAACGCTGGCATGATGAAAAGTAATTAAGAAAGGCCAAATCTCACCTTATTCTAAAAAAACTATTACCTTCTCACTTTTCTGGCATTTTGATAAACATGACTATAATCACAAAGTAAATTTTCATTTACATCTGATGCAAAATGGGGAGAAAGGATAGCAAACCAGTTAAGTGTGCCTCTTAAAAGAAGCTAATATGTCCTATTAGATCTGCAACAAAATCACTTTCCATCACTCCTTCACTTCTAGAATCCACCTCAAATGAAAGTAACATAATACACTGTAATGATATAATTTATTCTAATGTAAAAGGAAATTTCTTCATAGATAATGGTCTCAATTTTCAATTTTGTAAGAATCCCATAATCCCAGTGGGGGTGGGTACCTTACCTCTGTAATCTGTAATGGTGGGCGCGGTCAACACAACAATGAAATGTGACGATGTGGGGAAGACAGGAGCAGGCAGCAACAACACAAAGTAATACATTCCACAATGTGAGTGAGAGATGGGACGGGAGGTAGGGGGAAAAACTTGAGTAAGTACAAATATTAACCAAGAATACTGACTAAACACAGGAATAAAATACCCAGACATGACAAAGTTCTAACAGTATTAGTTGAAAAGTTATGTAGTTACATGCCTTCAAGTCCACTGAGGTGTTTATTTATTTTATTTTTTATTTTTTTTTTTTAAAAAGACACATTTATTCAGCATCATGATCAGACATCACTGAGGTGTTTATGCTTCTTTTTGGCACTTTTCCTTGGTGAAGTATCTTTCCCTCAGTTAGAAAGCTGGTAGCTTCTTGAATAAGAAAGCTAACCTGCTATGTCATTCTAAATCTCAAAGATAACAGGACCAACAGGCCCGGACTTTTGTTGAGGCAGTCATTGCTTTAGGATCTACCAGATAAATTTATCTAAAATCACTGTTGCTAAAGGACAGCGCAATATGAAATTTTCGCAGAAATTATCAACAAAAAATTATATACACCAGCTAACGTACATTTTATTCTCCGTGGTGTGTCATTATGCCAATGTTCCTGGAAATACAAAGGCAGGTAAGGCAAAGCTTGCTACTCTGTTGACAATGCAATACTGACACACTGGTTGGTATATTCCCCAAGTACACAGGCATATCTGACACCCAGACATTCTCATTACAGTAGCAGACAATTTTAATGTTACAGGAGTATAAGACATACACATACCTGAGCAGACTGGGAGGTAGCCTCATCCAGAGCCAGAGCTCGCTGACGCACTTCCTCTTTAATTTGGGCATACATGTTTTCTGCTTTCTGGTATTTTTCTTCTACCATCATCCCTTCCTCTGGGTTTAACTCCTTTAGTTGTGGGCCTATCTTTAGTAGTTTATCAATATGAGGTTTATGCTCAGCAATGGATTCCCTCAGTTGCTATGGAAAGACATATGGATAGAAATGTAATGAGCATGACTGAGGGTACAGCTCAGAGGTAGAGCACACACGGTGCACACACGAGGTTCTGTGTTTGATCACCAGCACAAGAAAACAAAAATATAATATATACATACATGTATGTATACGATAGTTAAAGACATACAGCTACTTTCTCTTAGTTCAATGAGAAGGTTTGTACTAATATTGTTTAGACAAGATAGGTCTGCATCTTGTCCTCTGAATAACTACTACAAAGACAACAATATGCAATGTATTATTATAACTGTCCTAACTTGTTTTGAAACTGTTTCACTGCTGTCATCTTTTTTAATCATTAAAATGAATAAAAAATAAAAAGAAAACAAAAACACAACGAGCACCTGATACCACCTTATTTACATATTTGATCAGAGCTTTGAGAAGAACAAATTGAATTGTTAAAAAATCAGTAAAACCTAGCATCTAACCATTTATGGGAAAATGGAAAAACATGTATATTCTTGGACTCTGATGCTAATTCTTTTTTATTTTTATGTAGTTAATAGAGGGTCTTCAGTGTCTCACTACACAGATTGGACTCATAGTGATCCTGTTTTCCGCCTCCCAAGTGCTGGGATTACAGGTGCGCGCCACCACGCCCAGTCTAGATACTAATTCCCTTTCATTCTTATTCATTATTCTTTCTCTGACAGGGTCTCACTTGTGATCCTCCTGTCTCAGGTTTCCAAGTGCTAGAATAATAGGTGTGTATCATTATGTATAGCTAGTCTCTTAACTTTCTAAAACTAGATGAGGTGTTCTCATCAACCTGGAAGCCAGTCATCTCATACTAGTCTATTCCACTCTTTTTACTCACAAATACCTTTATGTGCTATATTGTAATTCACAGTTTATTATCTGTCTACCACGCCAGAGAGCTACCAAGCACGGTAAGCTATGAACTGCAACAATTCTGGTAATCTGACTACTTCTTGACTTTACTACTAGCTACTTCCAGTTTAAATCTTCAACTTACAGGAATATGGGAACAGTAATAAACAAACACTAAACTAATCATCAAAAATGCATCATTAGCTGGGGAGATAGCTCAGTGGCATAAGCGCCTTCTTGGCAAGCACAGGTCCTGAGTTTGATCCCTGATACACGTACAAAAAGCATCATTAAAGACAACATGAGGACGGGAAGATAGCTCAGAGATTTAAGTGCCTGCTGGGCAAGTGCAAGGACCCAGGTTCGATCCTTGGTACTGCATTCTGTGCCACCCCAGTACCAAGCCCACCACTGAAACCAGGCATGGTGGAGCACATCTATAATCCCAGCACTAGGGAGGCTGAGACAGGAGGATCACTATGAATTTGAGCTGTGCAGCGAGACCCTGTATCAAACAAATAAATAAAAAAAGATAACATGAGTTGAAGTGTGTCTATATTGCCCTTTCATCTTTTTACTTTTATTTTTAAAACGTATTTAGTACAGGGTCTACAGGGTCTCATTACACAGACCAGACTTGCAGTGATCATATTTTTCAGCATTCTAAGCACTGGGATTACAAGCGCGTGCCACTCAATTGCTGTCTCAGCACACCCTGGGAGCAGGGCTGGCCCGGCAGGCTGGGATCAAACCCCTGCCCCCTGCATCTGCCTAAGCAGGTGCTTTAATCCGCCGAGCTATCTGGCTGGCCCTATCCTTTCTTCTTCTTTTTTTTTTTTTTAATATTTATTTATTTATTGTCTGTGTGTGGCCAGCTCAGCCCACCAGGGGGCGGGGCTGGCTGGCATGTGGTGCTGGGGGATTGAACCGCGGTCCTTGTGCTTTGCTTAGCTTAGCTTATTCTAAGTAGGTGCTTTAGACCACTGAGCCATCTCACCAGCCCCTCCTTTCTTCTTAACTGTATGTAGCAGATGCTTTCTGATATTCCTTCAGAGCTCTCACTCCAGCTGGGGCCTACTAAGGTGCAGACACCCAACCACAGCCTCAGGCTGACATGCTTGCATATCCTTGGACACAGTTCTAATTTCCTTAATTTGTTTTATTGGCAGAACCGGGGATTGAACTCAGGCCCTTGCACTTGCCAGGAAAGCGCTTATTCTACTGAGCCATCTCCCTGGCCCCTAATTTCCTTAATTTGGAAAAAGGTGGGTTTTGTTTTTGCAGGGATGGGACTAGGACCCAGGGCCTTGCATACACTAGGTCAGTGGTGGCTAACCTACAGCACATATGCCAAGCTGTACTGTTGGTATTATTGAAAGCTATTATTCTTGTGTCTTCCTTTTAATGTATGAGTTATCACTTCTAAACTAAAACCTCAGTATTTACATTTAATAGCAGTATTGGCACTCTGATAAATAAGAGGGGTTTGGCTTGCATTCTGGGCACTCTGTCTCCAATAAAAGGTTTGCCTCCAATGTACACTACTCTACTCTCTTACTTTATCTCTGTAAAGGATTTTGCTACTTCCCTAATCTTATTCATTAATCACATTAAATGATAAAAAATAATTCAGCAAGTATTTTTATTGTGAAAGGAAATTTTAACAGATTAAGAATTAACTTCATAACATAAACCTTGCATCTATTTGGCACTGATAAATAAGGGATTTTTGAAAAAAATATAGAATTCATTTTCATTTTGCATTGAAATAAAACTTGGAATGTTCCTTACCCTCATTTCTTCTTGCTGCTGCCTGAGCTGTTCATGATCAATAGCAGGAGGAGGCAACTGTGCTATGAGTGTCCGAGTCTCCTCAATCCAAGGGCTAAGCTCTTCATAAGTTTCCCAAAACTGGTTCACCAAGACCTGTGCGCGCTCTAGGCGGGCATAACGCTCAGAATTGAGTAGGCTAATGGCTTCATATTGTTGTATTAGAGATTCTGTTTTTTCCTATGAGCAAAAAAATTTAAAGTTCACTTAAAGTATTACTATTAAGAACTTAAGCCACAGAGAAATGTGTTCGATGATCTAAAGTGAGCCTGGGGAGAGTCACGTGGAGAGAAAAAACATTTTCTCAAGCTTTCACAGAGAGGAAATTGGTCAAGCAATGGCCATGATTCATCCTCATGTCAAACACTGACAAAAGGATGTACAAAAGGAGGTACAGGGCTACAGGATAAATCCTGAGAGTACTTGGCTGACCTTATCAGATACAAAAGTTACATTCCTTGGTATATAGGTCTTGCTTTATCTTGGTCTTAACCATCCAGCAGAAAAGTATAAAAACGAGGTATATAAAGTAAATCCATATTAATACGATGAGCTGTAAAAGGCTCAAGTCAATAACTTCTGAGGATAACCCACTAATATTATAGACTGTTAGACAGTGTTAAATTGTTTAGTTGAATTCAAACACCTATAGTATTTAGATGCCAATAGAATAGTCACCTCTGACAGGACAAAAATAAATAAATAAATAAATAAAAATAAAATTTTTTTGAAAAGATACAAAGATCATTTTGTATTTATATATGCAAAATAGGATAAATTTACAGCTACTTTCGCTTAACTCAATGAGAAGAAAGAGGTGTACTAACAGTGTTTGGACAGAATATCCTGTCTGCTTCTTGTACTATGGATAACCACTAAGAAGATAACAATGTACAGTATATTGACTATCAAAACTGTCCTATTAATCAGCTGTGAAACTGTCTCATTCATATTTATTTCTCAATAAAAAAATAAATATATTAAAAAAACTTACAAAGATGCAGGTATAGATACTAAAAGGTCTAAAGGAACACACACTAAATTATTAGTACAAGGGCCTTAGTTCAATCACTGGTTCCACCAAAAAAAAAAAAAAAAAATCAAAACATACAAATGTAGCACAAAAGGTAACAAAATAGCACAAAAGTTCAACAAAATTAACTTTTGAGCAATGACACACAAAAGTACAGCATCATTATGACACATTTAACACTGAACACTTAGGGGATATAATAGAATTCTGATTTAAAAAAAAAAAGTTCAGAAAACTAGCAGGTAGGCTTCATATGTTCAGGATAGGGAACTCAATTTATGAAGATTTCTAAGGAAACAGTGATTAGTCATATCCTTTATAAAAAAATAAACAAAACTGGTTTACAAATTATCTTGACCAATCCTTCCAAAAGTAGGTATGACCTTTAGGGCAAGAAAAAGGCATTAATATCTGTATAGCTCATTCCTGTAGACTTAAGGTATAAGTAGTGATTTTTCTATTATTATGAAGACAGATTTGCAACATACTTGACATTTTATAGCATGGCTTTTAAGACCTTTGTGAATGAATACAAAGTGAGGAGTCTTAAATTCTTCAGAACATTAATTTGGACTTTAATAAAAATCAGTAATATGAAAATCCAGGAGGAAAAATCTGAAACATTTTTCCACAATTGTAATTCTAACTCACAATGATTAAGAAAATGCAAATAGAATGAGTAAGTAACTGTAATTACCTGTAATACAGCTTTCTGCTCCTCTCCACATGTGCCAAAGATTTCACCACGGTGACTAAAGAGCTCATCCATAGAGTCTTTGTGTCTAATTATGTCAATGGAGAAAGCCTTTAAAAAGTAAACTATAGTTAAGTCACGAAGTAAAAGCCTCAGCATTCCAGGAGACTGAAGCAGGAGGATCCAACTTGGTCAATTTAGTTAGAGCCTATCTCAATATAAAAAACAGAAAGGGCTGACAGTGTAGCTCGGTGTCAAGGCCCAGCACAACCAAAACGAACAAAACTCCACAAACAAAATACCTCTGAGCCTGTGTTTGTGAAAAATAAAATGCAAACTATGAAAGATTATTTGCATTAAACATACAAAAAATTGTTCTGAGGCAGCCATGGTAGAACACTTGTAATGTCAGTACTCTGGCAAGCTGACAGAGGTGGATTTTGAGGTTGAGACCAGTGTGGACAATTTAGCAAGACCGTGTCTCAATAGCTCTCAATAGCTCAGTGGACTAAAGCGCCTACTTAGGCAGGCACAGTGACCAAGGTTTGATCCCTGATGAGCTGTGCCGGCCCTGCCCCCGGGGCACACTGAGACGGCGACTGGAGACTGGGGTGACAGACTGGGATCTGGTGGCACATGCCTGTTATCCCAGCGCTTGGGAGGTTCAAAACAGGAGGATTACTATGAGTCTGATCTGTGTAGTGAGGCTCTGTAAGACCCTGTACTAAAATACATGGGCTGGGGATGCAGCTCTGTGGGCAGGCCCTGGGTTTAATGCCCAGTACTGGAGAATAAATAAATAAATGAGTAAAAATTGATACTTTGCTTAGCCAACATCTTTAATGCCTTTTTTGTAGGCTACACAAATGTCTTCTTTATTTTGCAGTACTAGGGATTGAACTCAGGAACTTGAACTTGCCAGGCAGGCACTTACTCTACTGAGCTATCTCCTAGCCCCCTTTTCCTTCTTATATAATGATATCATCCAGAACATTGCTAACTATTCTTTCCTGGAGTGATAGGCCTATTTCACAAAGAAAGAAAAAACAGCGGGGCTGGGGAGATGGCTCAGTAGAATAAGTGCTTCCCTGGCAAGCACAAGGGCCTGAGATCAATCCCCGGTTCCGCAAAAAACCCCAAAAAACCCCCAAAAAACCAACTTTCCCTCACCCTGAACAAACACATACAAAATTAATTTCTACCCTCACAATGCCATTTGGCTTGACTTAGTATAGTCAGAAACTCTCCTACTCACTTGAAGCTACCGGCGAATGTTCTAGCTCAGGTCACAGTGGGCACTTGCCATTATACTTACCTTCTGCACCTGCAGCTGAGCTGTTGTCTGGTCCTGTTCAAGTCGAATTGGACCTAGGGCCATCAGCTTTCGTTTTGTTTCCAAAACCCAAGCAAGTTCTGCATCAGCAGCTTGTTCATACTAATAGACATTGTAGGAAAATGAGTAAGTTATATACAGCAAAATCTATTTCTCTCACTTATCTCACACACAAAGTCCTGGATTTGCAGAAATACAGTGTGTAGAGCCAAAATTGAGTAATTTCATAATTATAATTCAGAATAATTTCATAAATTACAATTCAAAATATATGCAAATTAGAATTGGTCATTCTTCAATTCCTTTAAAAGAAGTTATGGAAAACAACTAGTGGTCCTCTACCTAGAAACAACACAAAATAACACACTTCAGAAGAAGTATGCTTCATATCAGAGTGTTTTGAGGACACACTTGTTCTGCCAATTCCTTCTCTTATCCAGACACTGAACAACAGTTTTAACTAGATGTTTAGATAAAATTTAAAATGACAGTAAACAGCTGAGTAAAGTTAACTTGGAAGTATTTGCTCAGCTAAAGAAACACAGAACCCTGAGAACATTCAACAATTAAATGACTATGCAGCTGGGAATGGTGTTGCATTCCTATAGTCCCAGCACGGTGGGGGCTGAGGGCTGAGGTAGAACCTGAGTTAGAGGCCAGTCTGGGCTATGTAGTGAATTCAAGCCCAGCTTGTATTACACAGCAAGATCTGGCCTCAAGGAAAAAAAAACAAAAACAAAAACACCCCCCCCAAAAAACCACAAAACTTTGCAATAGCAAAAACAAAGAACATGTTCTACATGACTACTGCTGACAAGTAGCCCAAATCTTTTATTTCCTACTTTAACTTTGCCATCCTGTGCTAATATAGGTTGAATATCTCTTACCAGAAATACTTAGGACTGGAAATGGTTTTTGGATTTTGGAGTATTTGTATACAGCTTTTTACTGGTTCAGCTTTTCCACTGAGAAATACTAGAGTTTCAGATCAGGGATATTCTTTTTTTTTTTTTTT